TTGCAGACATCACTCTAGGCTCAATTCAGTACGTTATGCTAAATTTTGTGCAGATATTTAGGGTCTTTGGTGCACCAGTTAACTTAAAGCGGACAAAAATATATATGGAAGCTATATCTAAATCTGAACCGATTTTTCCCAATTTCAATAGGGTTCGTCCTTGGGCCAAACAAATGACCTGTGCCAAATTTCATCCAAATCGGATTATACATGCGACCTGTACTTTGTTTACAGTTTAACACCAACAGACGGACATGCATAAATCGACTCAGAAAGTGATTATATGCATATTCTCAAAAGAAACTATGGGATTCCTTTTGCCTGTTACAAACATATGCACAAAGACATAATACCCTATACCACAGCGTGGTGAAGGGTATAAAAATTCGTCAGGACCCTGAGACATTGATATTGATAATTTTGGAAGTTGGAAGATTTTCTACCCAAAGTGAATATAAAATGCGAAACTACACTAGGAAAAATGTGCCCAAAAGGTACAAAAATACCAAATATGAGGGCCCCCGTTATATGGGGCTACACGCAAAAGCTTCCAAATACCGTGTATTGTTATATAGGGCCCACCCTAAAAGTTCGACCGAATATATCCCATTTTCAATGCCATACATGATGTTGAAACGTCGAAACCCATGTTTTGGAGGTGTATTACTCTGAAGCCTTCAGACTTCAGAGATTCGAAATGTGCTCGTAAAACCCATGTTTTGGAGGTGTATTATTCGGAACTCTTCAGACTCCAGAGATTCGAAATGTGCTCGTAAAACCTTTCCCCAACTTAATACTTTCACCCCTTGGCTATTACACTAAGCAGTAATACAACATTTCAAACACAAATATCTACATTTTTATAAAATACATACCTAATGGTATAAATATTATCACACACAGCAGCAAGTCCTGGATCTGAAATAAAAAGAAAAACTCAGTTTAAAAATATATAAATCTTAAATTTTTTGAAAAATTAATATTAGATAATAATTTTAGATGTATATGACTCAATACATACAGTCAATGTTATTTCGATTTTTATGATTAAGCCAAAAAATTAAAAGTTTAGATACTGGCGAATTTGTACAATTTAAAAAATATTCAATTTTCCAAATTCTTTATATGTTTCGTCTACATTTGTTTCCCTTCACTATTTCCCTTCTTTTATGCCATACTTCACACACATTTTCGAATAATTTAAATATTTATTCCAACTCAATTATTTGTTCCCCCTGTTTTCGCTAATCAGCTTATAATAGTTTTCCCCCAAAAATTTAAAGCGTTCCACACTCAGTGTTTCCTTGCTAAAATATTTATATTCTAAACAAATTAAACATACGAGTATGTGTTGTGTTAAATTTACTATAGAAAATTGCGAAAAATAAAGCGCATCTTTAATATCGGGTATGGGTAACAAATTTTGAAATTTTCAACAATTTAATTGAATGGCGCTCATTTCTAGGAAAACCACATGATGATGAAAATCCCCAATAGACATGTGATTGAAGTTGGCTGCAATGGTAGACATGCACTGGAGCGAGAGCAGAGGCTTAGAAAGAAATTTATTTTGGAAGGAATTTGGGTAAAGGGATAAAATGAGCAATTTTTTAATTTTGAAAATTGTTGTATAGCGGGAGGTTTTTATCCTCGTTTACGTGTTTACTTTAAATTTACCACCTCAGAATCTGGCTACGCCGTTGTCCATTATTTTAATATGCCACCATGTTATTCATATGAAACATTTTCGACGGTATCAACGACAAATTCTGTACATATTTATATAGGACATTTGTCCTTACATTATACAAAACTGTCTATTAACTTAAAGTGATGCTTATGAAATGTTCAAATAAAATGAAATTAATAGTTCATATATTTTTGTTTATAAACAAACAAAAAATAACTCATAATACACCGCGAAACAATAAAAATAAAATTTTCTAATTTAACTTTTGACACAGCAGCCCATTACTCCCAGTTAGTAGTTGCAATTGACACGATGTTGTTGTTGTTCATGAAGACAACAATTCAACAAATTTATAATTAGCATTTGGAACACAAACACCTACTCCCATTTACGAATAAATACGCATATATATTTTTATGAATGTATGCATGCGGTGTGTGGGAGTCCAAATAAATATTCATATGTGTATAAAACGGTCGATCACACTACAAAACAAATCAACAATGGTAACCGGCATAAATATATCCTCAGCAGATTACCTTATTATTCAAATACTTGGAACAGTGGGTGGAAAATATAAAGAAGAGTCATTTAAAAAAATTTAAATTTATTTAAGTTTCGATTAAAATCGTTATGGTTGGCCGAGCCAAATTTTCATCACCTATCACCATGTCGGGGGTCTTCAAAATACCATAAATCGCTTTGTATGGTAGCTATATTATTGTATAATGCTATTTATGCTCAATACTCAGGTTGGAAAATACCGATAAGGTCTTAAACATAACCAAAATTATGCGGAAACTTAGCAGGGGATGTGTATAAAAAAGGAACCCTGAAAGGTGAGTTTTACCCTCCAAGAACAAAATTGGTGGAAATTCTGTTGAAAAGTTCATTTGAATTCGGATTGTCAAATTACAGTTCGGTCGAAAAATTCGGCTTTAATTTGCCCTATATTAAAAATGTTATGCTAAGGGGTGGTTTCTCCCCTCCAATAACACGAAATACCAAATTCTAGTTACTTTGGTGAAACAATGCGGCGAAAACCTTCAAAATACCCTAAATTGGCCAGACTATAAATCGATGGGCCCCGGGATTGAATCACATCGGAGGATCAAAAATTCTAACAAGTAGTTCGTAGAAAAGGGTTACATTTTTTCTGAATGCAATGCGTCCGAAGTCCCTGACATTTTAAAATTCAATCTTGGCATCAACATAAATGAGACTAATACGAAATGGCAATTACAGGGGATAGCGCCACCCAGAGGAAAATTGCAACACTACATACTCAAGGATCACAACGACTGTACAAAATTCAAGGAGTTATCGTTTCTAGACAACGATAGATGGCATCCTATAATACTAGGGGCAGGCTACAGCAGATGAATCATCTAATGAACCGGAATACAAACAATGACATGATTTACAAAACTAACAAAGATCTAATCCTACCATTTTTTTCATCCTCCAAGAATCCGGATTCAAAATTATGACAACACTAAATAAACAAGGACCCCAACCACTGTACTAAATTCAAAGAGTCGTTGTTTCTAGGCTGGGCTAGAAATCGATTGGTCTTGAATCACAGAAGAGGAGAAAACTTCTTTCAAGTAGTTTGTAAAAAAAACGTAATGCATCGGAAACCCCTCACATCCTAATAACCAACCTCAGCATCAACACGAATACATGAGGATAACACCCCACCAGAGTATGCGCCAATTTCCCAATATCTCTCTAAAATATTGAAATCGTTATCGTAATTTCAACGGCTGGACTTATATTTGTGTCTTGTTTAAAAGTGGCATAATTTTTAAGGGAGGACCTTGTAAGATACCGAACTGCCTAATTTACAGCCACTTTTGTTGGAAAATGTACCTTGAACATTCCTAGAATTTTTACTGTAAGGATTCATTCTATCTACTTAAATCCCTAAAAGTAAAATTTCAGTCACTAAGGATGAAAAATGAGGTCTTCCATTTAAAAAAAATCCAAATTTATAGTAACATCGATCAAAAAAATGAATTTAGGCCTTGCGTGAAAAATTACAAAAATTTTATTCTGGGGCGTATATATTTACTCCTGACGGACATATACCTGAAAAGTTCATAGTATATCCAAGAGGTGTCTTCAACATTAAATTGATACCAATTATGTTGTTGTCAGTACTCAGAGCTACAGAGTTATACATAGATAAACACAGGTGTCTATGTATTCTGATATGAAAGCATCTGTTGCAAGCCGAACATCACAAATTTTACACGGATAAGGGAATTGGCTAAATATTTAGAATGACTGTTTTAAAAATGGTCAGTCAAGATTTTTTTTTTTTTTTTTTTTTGATTTAAAATAACAAAATTTAAATCGTATGTCGGAAATATTTAGTCCGGAAAAATGATTTTGAAAATATTCCAGGGTAAGAAAGAGGATCTGTTGACCTCTCGATTAAGAGAATACAAACATCGCAATATATGGCCCAGTCTCGGAATATAGATCTGCTGAAAATTACAGTTCGGTGGTGGTTCTGTAGGGTATCGTATGGGCGGTCCCGTCCCACTTTACTGCTCCGCTCACTAGTTTACTATTTTCTATCTTCTTTCACTATCACGTCTATAAAGACTGCCTTGTCCAGGTTGCCCCCAGCACTCCTGTAGAGACTCTCTTTTGAGAAACGGGTATATTAAGACTCCCGTCTATTGAGACTCTTCTCAGCTCAAACATAAAAACTCCCTTTGCGTTGTTTTGCTATATATAAATAAGTATTTTAAAAAATTAACTTTTATAATATTTTATTTTTGTAATGGGGGGAAATTTTTTAAAAATTTCTTCTACTCTGTCTGATATCCGATAAAAATTGTGGTTCATATCGCAGATGTTTTTTCTCTGACCAATGATATTTCCCACTGTATCCTTTCTTTACACTCAATGTCACATTCACTGTGCGTATGTGTGTACCTTTACGTCTGGCGTAAAACATTAATAGTCGTCGCCGGCACATCATCAGCAGCAGCATCAACAAAACCGATTATTTATGCAAAACCTGCTAAAGGTATTAAAATAGCCCACACAAACAATATACACCACCAACACAAACACACTCACCATGTTCATTGTGATACATACACATAGGCACACACTTGCATACGCACTTAAAATATTGTTATTTCACGGTTATTTAATACTATTTACTCAAATCGTATCAATTATTTATGGCGATTATTGTTACGATATTTGAGTACTTGTTGTTGTATTTTTTCTGCTGCCATTGTGTCTATATTTATTTGTATTTGAATTGGTTTTGTTTTCGATTTTTCAGTTTCATATCCACCCACAACGGCGCCCACTGGTAATTTCCTCACCGATCCAACACGATGGGATGGTGCATATGGTTCAGATTCATCACGTAGCCATCATGGCGCGGAGAAAAGTAAGTATTTGAGTTTTTTACTAAAATTAATTTAATATTGCATCTTATGATTAAAAAATAGCAAGTTTTTTTGTTACGATCTTTTTGATTTAAAAATGAATTTCCTGATTATCCCAAACACATCTCCATTCTCATCTATATAAATATATTTAATTACATCATTACATGTTCATGTTCATGTCATCATTATCATTACCCTATATATTTATAGATACACATTATCAAACAAATCTTAATGAAATCGCTTTATCTCAACAAAAATCTCAACTCGTAGATAAAACTGCTGGCACGAATGATATCTACGGCCTACCCGGACAAGGTGAAGAGCTGTCAAGTGCTGCTACCGCTACTATAGGAAAACGCTTGCAAACCCTGGCATTGTTGTTAATTTTGTTTAAATATATTTAAGGTGTTATTTAAGGTAATGAAAAATACAATTTTCATACGTTTATAAAAATACAAAAAATAAATATAGAAATAAACCTAAAAGTATATAAATATACACATTAGTCAATTAAGAAAAAAATTGGAAATTTAAAAAAAGGTGCAAAATGAAAAACAAAAATAATTCCAAGGCAATTTAATAAAAAAAGTAAACAAGAAAACAAAAAGAAAACTTTAGAAAATGATTAAAATCGTTTCATGTCATGGTGTAAATGCTTTAACTATTTGTATCAGCTATAAGGTCCTTTATGAAATAAATATCAAATATTTACAAGGACTAAGCTTTTAGGAAATTTATTAAAAAACAACAGAATGTTATCCTTAGTTTTTTTCTGTTGCCAAAAAGAAAACACACCATACAAAAAAATCTAACAACCAATTCTTCCCCCTCTCCCCACGCAACAACAAACAAAATATAAAATCAGAGAGTAATCTAGTCAAACAAATATTTAGCCTTTATTAAATGTAAGTATAAATATAGTTATATATATGATATATATAAATGTATAAAATAAAACCCCTATGTAATATATATAGTTAAATGAACAAAAATTAATAAATAATTAAAAAATAATATTAATATATATACACCAACCAACAAAAACCCGCAAGCATACATAAAATAAAACAAATTATATACATACATTATGGAAAATATACTTATGAATTCGAAAATAAATATATATACAGGGTGTAGCAAAAGTAAAAGGGTTTAAAAAAATCTTTGAGGTAATTTCAAACAAAAGTTTTATAAATTGTTATTTTTATACCCTACAAAACTATGTTGTGGCCTGTGGTCCTAGTTCCACCTTTTAATATATCGATCGTCATATCTCAAGTAGCTGAGTCGATCTAGACATGTGTGTCCGTCCGTCCGTCTATCTATCTATTATAATTTGTAAAAACGATTCAGGCCACTGTTATGGAACAATCTTCACGAAATTGTTCACGGTTCGGACCAAAGAAGCCCCTATTGTTTTGGTAATGATCCGTTAATATTTAGGGCACCAAATGGACCTACAACTTTATTTTTGTTGGTTTTTCTGACCGCTTTAGAGGCCAGAATTATGACCCGAACTCTACGAAAAATTGGGGTAGTGATTCGACGAAGGACCAATGCACCCAAACCTTTGTGTGATAAATTTAAAATTGTACATTCTATGACATATGTAATTACACCCGAAGAACATAAACCGAAAAAAATTATCAGTATATCCAAGACGAGTTGTATATCTTTAATTTGATAACAATTGTATGGTTGTATGTACTCGGATAGGGGAGTTATACATAAATATTTAAAGCGGTCTACCCATTCGGATGTTTTTCTTTTTTGGTATTAGCATTATCATATTAGTTGGCGGAAATGTCACGTTGATCGAAGTTCAAAGACGTCGTCTTTAATTTTCGGTGATGATAAGACGCTAGATGATAAAATCGACCAAAAATATTTCCTTTTTTTTTTGGTTTTCTAGTCTAGGCCACGATTAAAAAACGAACATCAAAGGTGTAATACGGGAACGATGGTTTTGATAATTATCGGTCAATTTTTGGCGGCTCAAATGAACCCAGACTTTAATGTGCAAAATAACAAAATTTCAAAATTATGACGTTCATTCCGGGAAAACCTGATTCGGAAAAGATGCCAGACGAGACAGAGCAGCTGTAGAACTCTAATCGGTTAAAAGATCGTAAATATGACAAAATATTGCCCAGGTTTGGAATATAAATCGGCAGAATGTTAATGTTCAGTGGTAGTTCTATACCCTATACGGTCGACCTTGTCGGACTATACTGCTCTGTTCTTTACTTTCTTTCCTTCTTCAGTTCATCTAGAAAATAGTTCCCTTTTCCCTTAAAAAAAACTCTTGGAATTGTTTCATTTATAAGGACTCACATATTTTCGTTTCATCTATAACGACTTTAACCCGTCTATAAAGACTCCCCCTAAAGATTGCATACTTCGCACTTTCTTTAAATATCGTCTTTGAACGCCCCATTCTTCAGATTCTCTATAAAGAGAAGCTTATTCTCGTCTTATCCATAAAGACTACAACTTGTCTAGAAATACTACCCGGTTGGGTTCATCAATAAAGACTGTCTTCTTCGGAACTTCATTAAAGACTTTATCTCATAGAGCTTCCCTTCTTCAGCTCATATTTTAGGGCCCCTTTCTTCAGATTATCTATAAAGAGTCATTTTTTAGTTCCTTGTTGCTTAAGATAGGCTATTAATGTTCGGACCTTCAGCTCGTATCTCCCTCGACTGTCTTCAAAGAATGCTTTCGACTGTCTACAAAGACTTCATTCAAAACATTTCCCTGCTTCAACTGGTCTATAAAGACTTCCTGCTTTAACTTAAGTGTATAAAAATCCCTTTTTCAGATGTTCAAAAATGCACGTCTTTTTTGTTTCATCTACAACGACTCCTTTCAGACCTAAAAAGACTATTATTAGTTTGTGTGAAAGTTCCACTTGAGCTCGTATATAAAGAGACATATGAGCTTGTCCATGATGACACTCTTCGATTCGTCTATAAAGATTCCCTTCAGCTCGTCTATGAGACTTCCATCTTAAGTTCGCCAATAATGACTCCCTTCAGCTCGTCTATAAAGACTCCCTTTAGCTCGTCTATAAAGACTCCCTTTAGCTCGTCTATAAAGACTGCCTTTAGCTCGTCTATAAAGACTCCCTTCAGCTCGTCTATAAAGATTCCCTTTCAGCTCGTCTTTGAAAACTCCCTTCAGCTCGTTTATCGAAATTTCCTTCAAATACCTTCCCTTCGGCTCGTCTGTAAACACTACATTCAGCTCGTCTATAGAGACTCTTCTTCAGGTCGTCTAAAAAGACTCCTTCAGGTCGTCTTTCCTTTCGGTTTTAAATGCACCATTCAGTTCGTTTAAAAGGACTCCCTTCAGCTCGTTTACAGAAATTTCCTTCAAATACCTTCCCTTCGGCTCGTCTGTAAAGACTACATTCAGCTCGTCTATAGAGACTCCCCTTCAGGTCGTCTATAGAGACTCCCCTTCAGGTCGTCTATAGAGACTCCCCTTCAGATCGTCTATAGAGACTCCCCTTCAGGTCGTCTAAAAAGACTCCCTTCGTTTTTAAATACACCATTCAGTTCGTTTATAGGGACTCCCTTCAGCTCGTACATTAAGATGCCCTTCCCCTCGCCTAAACTGCGTTCAGCTGATCTATAAAAGCTCCCTCCAGCTTCTCTAAAGACTCCCTTTATCTCCCCTATAGATTCCTTTGTTCTCCTCTCTAAAATTTGTATGATAAACGTTTTTTGCCAAATTTCAATTTTATCCCATTACTTTTGCTACACCCTGTATATAATAATGAATTAAACATTAAATCAATATACATATTTATATATAAAAATACAATATAATCGCATAAATGTAATAAGAATTAATTTTAAGCTTAACTTAAATACGTAATACTGAAACGAAAACGCATAACACATTTTCAACTCAATTAAATTTGTTGTTTCATTTTAATAATTTGTATTTAAATCATTTCCAATTAATTTCATTAAATATTCAACAAATGGCTATTATTGTTGTTGAGATTACACATATTTAGTTTCATAATCTGTTATACTCTCATCATCCCTCTCCCCTATATTATGTTAATCGTATATTGTTGCGTATTAAAAACAAAATATTTATATAAGCTGGTTGTTTATTCAACAAAACAAAAAAATGGAAATAAATATATCTACAAATATATATGAAGAAAAAAAAAACGAAACACAAACAAACACTCATACAGATGCAGGGTTAAAAATATTTATTGTTTTTTTATATATTCATCAAATACTGGACGACGACAACAACAGAAAATCAGAAATCATATTTATACAACAATAATAATAACAAAACAAAATACAACAACAGTAAACGATTAAAACAAATAATGAGTCTAGAATATTTAATCAACCGATGAGAATTAATAAAAGAAATAAACAAATTATAAACTAAAACTAAATCCGTTATATACAAGCCCAAACAAAAAGGTAAGCCCAAAAACAAAAAAAAAGACGGAAAAAAATAAATTGCATTTATAGTCAAGAAACCACAAAAACAGGAGTCATGAGCATATTCCATATTTATTATAAACAAATTACATATGCTATAGCAAGAATATGAAATGTAAAGCAAAAACAAATATATAAACAAACATTTACAAAATCAACAACAAATGCTGTTTTTTTTAATAATCAACAACAAAAAATATACTAGTAATCAGTTGAATAGGGCAAAGGAGGATTAATTTGAAAAATAAGTAATGGGAAAACAAGGTGAGATTAAAATTTATTGAATAATTCATTCATTGTAAGGAAAAAGTAAAAGGTGGCTTGAATTATATGGATCTTGACCATCTACGCCATGACTTTTCCAATTCCTCTCGAAGAATGAAATATAGATAGAACGTTGTACCGATCTTAACCTAAGTTTTCGAATATGGTTTAATGAGTACGGTATTCTCCTGCTCATCTACATGAATGCTCTCAACTCCTTTAAAAATATTTCCTCAGCTCGTCCTAATGCAGTTTGTCAGTAAAAAGTCTCTGGCTTCGGTTCAATAAAAAAGCCCCTGGTTCAACTTTTCTAAGAAGAACCTTCATTAAAACTCCCAAAGACTTATTCTTTTCACTCGTCTATGAGGACTCCCTTCAGCTCGCCTTTAAAGAGTCCCCATAGTGTATAAAGACTCCCACACTTCAGACTATAAAGGCTCCATTCAGACTGACTTCCTTAAGCTTCGATTGGTACATGGAAATTTTGAAAAAAATGGATGCATGGGTATGAACGCGAAAAAAAAGTCCAACGAAAGTTGTTCGTAGAAACAGCACTTTGAAGCTAATGGTCGACTGTTTCTTTAGCAAAGCTTGTAATTTCGTGACTCTTCCGTTTGGACAATCGAAGGAAATAGTCGACTGTTTCTTAAGAAAAACTA